ATGCTGGACATAGGAAGCCAAGTTGCATACCAAATTCAGAAGGGAAAAAACCCAAACAATTTAAAATGGAAAGCATCCTACTGCATGTTGGATTAATGTGCTGTCAGCAACATTATGTGTTATTGCAGCAGAAATGGAGAAAATAGAAACTAGGTTTTAAAAAATCAGCCTGTGGAATTTTCCTTTTTCTGACTCTGTTGCAGACTCTTCAGTCACAGAGAGCTGATCAGTCTGTTTCCATTCTCAGCAGGATGGGCAGTACAGGTGGGCCTTCCTTCAGTGCTAGAAACATAAAAAAGATAGAAAAAAGAAAGCTTCAGTCCTCTGAAAATCACTATTTTTTGTAATACCAGATAGGTCTGCCCAGAAATTCTAAAAGTCATGATGCAACTGTAGGACAAATCCACCACTTTCTGGAGGCATAAATCTGGATTTATAGATGTATAGATATGGATGACATTGTCTGGATGTACAGATTCCATGCCAGCTCTAATCTGGAAGTCTGGCAAATTCCTTGTCTCCATTGCCTCCAAGGAAAGAGGAATGGCACAAAAAGAGGAAAATTCCCGAGGCATACAACTGGCTATAGGAAGGATTCAAGAGACCATGCTGAAAAGAATCTCCTGGTGTTGGGATGATATCTGATGGAATACCACTTGGTAGATCTTCAAAAACCCAAAAATATGCTTGCCCAACCTATATGTTTTTCTAGAATAGTTATGCTGGTCTAGTTTACCTGCTATTTTCCATCCCTAACTTCTACAAATAAGATTATGTTCAACTCAATTACAAAGTCCCAACATTCAGGGATGTTCTTTGTTGTTTGTTTTTTGTTGTTTGCTTTCATTTTGGTTGGTTGGTTTTAACCTGATTTGAAAATGACATTAATTTTTGCTTTTAAGAGATGGATCCCACTTAACCTCAAAGAAGACAATTTTTTTCCCCCAAACAAACAGTAATAATTAATAACACATTTCCTCAGGCAGAAAACACGCATGGAAAATCTTTGTGATGAATATTTAGGTTATTAGCATAGTAAAACAGGGGAATATGACTGAAATATTGTCAGCCCTTATATAATTAATGCTATTGAATGCATCCTACTAGTGTATCTGCTTTGTTTTATTCATACCCCCAGGCTTATAAGACAAAATTCTTTAGCTGTATAAGTATATATGTTTGGTAGATACACATTTTGTACATTCTCCATTTTAAATATAAAAACTCTTTAATGAGATAAGCTACCTCGCTGCACACCACAATATCTCTTTTTATCAAACTTTTTCACCAGTGCACAATTTTATAGGTGAAGTTCATGGAAATATGGAATAACTGCCCAAGAAATCTCTGTTTTTATCACTGACAAAGCAGAGGATTTCAGCTTCACCCTAGAATGACACATAAACACTATTGTTTACAAAAAAACCCAAAGAGAAGTGGCAGAAAAACCTCTCTGATGCCAATCAATTATATGGCAGGTATTTTAACAACAGAATAATAATTTGGAATGGGGAAGTTTATTAGTAGGCATAAAAATGTTGCCTCCCTGCTAGGGCTGCTGTTAATATATGTAAAGCATAACATAAAGAACCTTGCTGAAAAAATAACAACAGCTTCTTCAGCATGCATGGAGAAATTACTTGTAGTTCCCTCTATCAGCAAATGCTGCCATTTCAAAATGAATGTATTGTTCTTCTACATTTAGTGAGTATTTACTGCACTTTGCACTCCCAAAATTTGTTTTGTCTATCAGGCTCTGCATAGAGAGCTTTTTCCTGGCTCTTAGTGAAGAAAGTTTAAATAATTTTAAATGTTAGAAGTGAGAAGGAATCAAACCTACACTTGTCTTTTCTAATACAGAGCTGCAGTGCCATACATACTAGCAGTACCACTGGAAAAAAAAAAATTGTGGGACAAGGAGCTCAAGAGTGATTTCTACTAGAGCATGTAACAAAAAAGTCTTTAGCAAAGAAATTTTTGGAAGAACAGGAATCCTCATTGAACTGGGCATTTTTTAAGTTGTCTTCATTTTTTTCCCAATAATCACCCACTAAACCTCCAGAGTGCTCTCTGCTGATTCTGCCATCACTTTTGGCCTCATCTTAGCCAGTTGAAGTACTTCTGACTTTTCAATACTAGAAATGTTAGTTCAGGACATAGCTCATATCCTCAAACCCCATTGAAATCTCACACTAAAAGATATGAATTTACTGAGAATTTACTGTGACCTTATTTTCACTGAGAATCAGAGATGGATCAGAGCCAGGCAGAGGGGCTGAGCAGCTGGGTTTCAGGCTTCCCAGTGTGCAAAGCAGATTTTCCTATACCAAAATTCAGGTCACCATACACCTTGCTGCTTAGTGAGAGGTGTAACTCTTAAGTCATCACTGATATTTGTTCATGAAATGTGTTAATTGCAAGATTAGAAATTACTTTTGAAAGTTAATCTCATAGAGCATGAAGAAATGCTGTGTTTCAGCAGACATTGCAGTCAGACAAACACCTGATTTTGCAAGCACCAGTTTTGAGGTACAGCACTGGCAGTCACAAAAATCTGTTTGGACTTCTAAAATGAGAGACTTGCTATGGATATCATTCAGAGAGAAGAAATAAAGTAAATCAAGATGTTTCTAATATGTCACTTCTCTGACCATAGCCTAACATTAGAAATGAGATTTCAGAATAAAGAACATCCAAAATATTACACGAAGTGAAACATCTACAAATGATTACAAGGAAAAATTTACTTTATTAGAAAGATAGGTGCTTTGATCAGTGTTAACGAGCTGTACATGAAAGGTATGGATTTCAAAGAAATGATGGAAACTGCAATGTTGGAAGAATGTAATGTTTCAGGCTTTCTGCCTCACACTCCATTCTTAGTAGAAAATTAATGACTTACATGACTGAAAACTGTTATTTTAAGATTATTGTTTTTGAAGCACTGCTAATTATTCCTAATGAAATTACTGTGGACACAAGCACACAAACTGCTTACTTCACTTTGTGTTTATACAGCTCCCTGAGCTCTCAAACGTGCAATCCAGCTACCTTACAGCACTCCCACAGTGCCAGGTTAAATGAGTCTTCCCATAAATAGGTACTGATCAATTAATCAGTTTTTCTAATAGTCACTTGCTTTTACTATGACCACAATGTTTGAAAACAAGCAGTCTGAGGGCAGTGGATTCAATTTGCCTCTCTGAGGGCATGAGAGTAATGGCTCATCCTGCTGGAAAAGCTTTTGCCACAGAAAAAAAAAAAAGTGGATGAGTGGATGCTGGTACTAGTCTGTCTTTCCTTCTGTGTTTTCCACTAAAAGCAAAATTTAAATATATATGCAGCTCCACGCATGCAGAAAGTATTTCTGGGCCTCAAGAAACCCTAACTTTTCTGTTCATGTATCATACACACCAATTAATATGCACATAATTTTCATTCAAAACCTTGGCAGGGCTGGCTCCTGTGAGAAGCTGCTGGAAGCTTCCTCCAGATCCAGAGGAGTCAGTCCCTGATAGTCAGAGATGGATGTGCTGCTGGTCAGAGCTGGGCCAGTTACAAATGCTGATAATGCCCTTGTGATAACAGACTTAGGAATAAATGTTACAAACCAATAACAACCAAAACCAAAATACTACTGCACAGTTGTAATTGCAGTCAGAGGAGATGTGAGGAGATGTGAGAGGAGCAGCCCTGCACACACCAAGGTCAGGGCAGAGGAGGCACAGGAGGTGCTGCAGCACCAGAGCTGGGATCTGCTGCAGCCCAGGGTGCAGCCATGGTGAGGAGCTGTGCCTGCAGCCCCTGGGGATGCTCAGGGATGCAGGGATCCACTGGGGATGCTCAGGGATGCAGGGATTCACTGGGGATGCTCAGGGATGCAGGGATCCACTGGGGATGCTGAGGGATGCAGGGATCCACTGGGGATGCTCAGGGATGTAGAGACCCACCCGCAGCCCCTGGGGATGCAGAGGCCCACCCACAGCCCCTGGAGGAGCCCACTCTGGGGCAGGTGGGTGCCTGGAGGAGGCTGTGACCCTGTGGGAGGCTGTGCTGGAGCAAGGTCCTGGCAAGGACCTGCAGATTCATGGAGAGAGGAAGCCACACTGGAAAGGTTTGCTGGTGGACTTGTGACCCCACAGAGAATCCATTCTAGAGCAGCTGTCCCTGAAGGACTGCAGCCCCTGGAAGAGGGACTCAGTGCAGCAGTTCCCAGAGGGCTGCTGCCTGTGGAATGAACCCAGAGAAGTTCATGAAGATGTTCATGGAGATGTCATGAAGAAGTTCATGGAGAAGTTCATGGAGAAGTTCATGGAGAAGTTAATGGAGAGGTTCATGGAGATGTCATGGAGAAGTTCATGCAGAGCTGTCTCCCGTGGGAGGGACCCCATGCTGGAGCAGGAGAAGGACTCCTCTCCTGAGCATGGCAGAAGCAGCGTGTGATAAACTGACCATAACCCTCATTCCCTCTCTCCCTGCACCACTGGGGAAGGAGCTAGAGCTGGGAAAGAAGAAGGGTGGGGGAAGGTCTTTTCAAGGTCTTATTTTACTTCTCATTATCCTGCTCTGATTTTGTTAGTAAAAAATTCAATTAATATTTATGGTTCAAGTCTGTTTTGCCCATGATGGTATTTGGTGAATGATCTCATTCCCAGCCCTTAACTCATAAACCTTTTATTGTATTTTTTCTTCTCTGTCCAGCTGCACAGAGAAGTGATGGAGGCTTTGGAGGGTGCCTGGCATCCAGACAGGGTCAATCCAACTCTGTACATGAAGTTACTGACCCCAAGACGTGCCTCTGAAGTTTTGTAGAGCAGAAATAGAAACATTACAAGGGGATGATGCCCTAATTATTCCAGAGTTCAGCACCACCACTGTAAGCAAAATAAAAGCCTGCAGCAAATTCACTGCAAAAATGTTTTTAAACTCCTGGCAAGCCTTATGGCAAAAAAGGTTTTTTTAACACTGAAATGCAGAGCTTAAGGAAACATCTGTTGTCTCTGAAGATAGAGGCTGACGAATTGGTGAAACACATTGTTATCTATTTGGCTTTAAGGTAAGTTCTCCATGCCTTTTGGGTAATGCATTTTTTAAATTTTACTTCTACATAAAAGCTGATCTAAGTTAACAGCCCTTCCAGTAAAAGGCAAAATCCTATTGTCCTCTTTCTTTGCTCACTTTTTCTTCCTCTCCTGTTTTCAGCATTCCCATTCTTCCTCCTTCCCTCCTACTGGCTGGGCTGCACAGCTGAGCCTGAGTCAGCTTACCAAAGTTATCAGCACAAGTGAATCACTTCCATATGAAGCTGATCAGGGAAGTAAGTCTTTGCTGTATCAGCACAAGAGATTTGCTTTAATTCTTCACACTTCTATTTGTTTTCATATATATATATATATATATATCTGTATGTATGCATAATTTTAAAGTAATTCCTCTATAATATTTACTTGTCATTTATCAGTCAGCTTAATCATCACAGAAAAGCATATGCAACACAAAAGGTTCTCTTTGCGTTATTTTTGTCTTCTGCCTTCTGGAGATCCCCACTGTATCAGATAAGTTTGCTGAATATCAGTGTCCCTGCTAGTAATCATATATTTTAAAAGGCCCTTAATTCATCCTGTCATTTTTAGTGAAACAGTCACTGAAACAAAGCTGTTAACTTCCCCCACTGGCCTTGGGTGGAAATGGGCATTTTATAACACAATTTTTGAATAGTGGGTGGTGATAACAAAAACCAACAGATGTTAAATAGAGGAACAGCCTTTTGTATGACTTGCCACAGAAGCAAGAATTCCTGCTGATTTGGTTTACTTCTTGTGTGCTGCTTCTTGGCACATGGTTTTCACAGTGGGCATCATAGAGCACTGAAAACTCAGGCTCAGATTGTCAACCTTTGTTATTCTGTAATACACAGTGTCATTCATCAGCTGTCACTTAATTGCTGGGTGTTGGTCACTCAGACACATAGTGAACCAAAAGAAAGAAACTGTCAACAAAATCCATCAGGAATGTTATTCTGGAAGAAGAGTTTAAGTGTTGCTGTTAAGTACAATGAAAAAAAATCTTCAGACATAAAGGAGAAAGAAAATGTAGTTACTTACAATGGCTGATTATTGTTAATGTAGAGAAAACCCTTTTTTAAAAAAAGGCTTTTATCTCTTTTTTTCTCATAAACACTTGTGTATCAGAGTGGGAAGAAAAATGAACAAAACCACAGGGGTCAACTGGCAAGAAGAGATTTGAAATGCCACAGAGCAAGAGCATTCCAAAATGTAGCCTTGGATACTCAGGGCTACTTCAAGAAAACATTGCTTAGCACTTGTGGGCATCAAGTCCAGAACACATTGCTGCTTCTTTTTTTTCAGGGTTTGCAGTGGGAGACACTTGACCATTTACTTTCTCTTCCCTACACATTAAAGCAGTACCAGAAATGCTCAGAGCAGAGAGCTGGAACTTCTGGGACCACAGGACCATGGATGGTGCTTCCAGGCAAGAAGCATCTGTAACTACTGGGTAATTAAAAAAAGAAAATTAAAACTCACATCTTGTGCACAAAAATTTACCTCTTTTTTGCTGGGAAAAAAAAAAAAAAAAGGGAGATGTCTCAAAGTTATCACCAACATGTAAGAACAAAGTTAGAAAGTGGTAATTTTATAAGTGACACTTCTTAAGCTGACAAGATTGTTGAAAAGTGGTACTTTCAGGTAGGATGTAAGTGGGCTGTAAATCAACTCAATTCATTGTTGAAGGAGCAAATCTGCACAGCAAAATAGTTGAAACCACTGGTTAAAAGTCCTGTAATTTAGTAAAGATGGTTAGGTTTTGTTATTTTCAAAGGGACATGTTACAGAGAGAGAGAGATTCCTCTTAGCTCTGTTAAATCATGTGAGCAGGTATCAGTGACATGGCCTCTATGTCCTCTCCCATTAAAATATAAGATCTAAGGCTGTAGCAGAATGGGAAAAAATGAGAAAAATTCTCAGAACCGGAGGAAAATAAGGGACAAAATAACACTGAAGACTTGCATTGAGATAAAATATCTGAATGCCCTAAAAGCACTATTTACAGAAAGAAATGCAAATTGATTGTTGAATAATTTTAACAAATTTTAATGCTAAAATAATGTGGACAATCACATGTTGGTCATTCTGTGTAGGAAAAAAATTCCTCTGTTGCCCCTAGATGAAGGCTAATGGAAGCTGGTTGGTGTTAATTTCACAGTTGCTGTTAATTGGTTAGCTAATTAATCTAAGGTTTCCTCTTCAGGCAGTGAAGAGGGAGCAGAGCCCTTACTACAGTAAGGGTTCTGCTCCCTCTTCATCCTAAAATCTATATCTATAGGGGGTCAGAGGAATAACAGAGGCAAACAATAATTGCTTTCAGAAGGCCACTTTGGAAAGAGGTGCCCAAAAAGATTTTCTTACCTGGATGACTGAAGAAGGCTTTCAAGTTTATACTTAGTAGTATCTTACAGTTTTTCCAGCTTTGGGCTTTCAACATTCCTCAGAATTATTAAGTGTTTGCTTAATCCTTGAGGCATGAAATGCAATAGGATGATAAATAGTTCAATTTGGGCATTTTACTTTTCATATGGGATGGATAGTAACAGCAGAAAAAAGGAGCTTAGTAAATAAAAAGGGTAGAAGGTTCTGAAAGCTATCACCTGTGCTTCCTTGAACCCTCAGGCAAATCACTGGAGACTGATATTCCCCACTAGGACTTAGCCATAAACCATTTAAAACATGAATAATAACTAGAATGTAATTGTCCATTCATTTCTGGCATTCTTACTGGTTTAAATGTTTTCCAGTGGTTCAACATGAGGATATCTGCATTTTCTATTTTATATGTTTTCAAATAAAACCAATTTGTGACGTCTAAACTTTAGAAAAAGACAGACTTAAGATTGTCTGCCCATTTTGAATTATCTACATACAGATTTTCATAGTTTTTTGCTTTATTTTTTTCACAGCCCAACTTTTATTAGTTTCAGTTGGACCTGCATTTTTGCAAATGAAAACTTTGCTGTGACAAGATAAGCACAAAGAAAATAAGGAACATCTTTCCTCTCAAAAGTCTGGTTTAAGTGACTTCCTTTGAATCATACAGTAATCTTGTGACAGATGATGATACCAAATGCATTTTCTATGCTGGCATTACATTGCCTTAACTGTAGGAATAAAGCCCACTGAAAAACAGATTGCTGCTTCAGTGTTGGTATAAAACTGAAATTATAAACCTGCATGATGAATTGCTGAGTGGCTCAGAACAAAAGATTTCAACTACATCAGAAAGAAAAGGTAGTCTCTGAATTTATTATCCAAATGTTCCATAAAGGTAATGATCTTACAAGAAATATGTTTTGTCAAATAAACGCTTTTTGCGCACAGCACAAATAATAATTTTAACTACCCAATAATTTTAACTAGTTTGGCCTTTAATTGCTTTGAGTCCCACATTTTTTATTTTATAACTTGAAAAAGTAAGAGGAAGGTCTTAATCATATTATGACTAATCTGACATACAGAGCTATTTTCTGGGCATCTTGTTCACTGTCTGAACATAAAAATGTAGGTTAGGATCATATAATTAATGACTTTATTATAAGGCCTATAGAAAAGAGACCTGAGTTAATATCAGTCAGCTTTATTTATGGTAATTCCCAATTCTAAATCATACTTTTTCAACAATAATATATTTTTTTTTCTTTGTCCCTGTGAAAAAGTAAAATAAGTAACTAATTAAATCTTCTTTTTCTACTTAAACATAGTCATTAACACCCTGATGATAGGGGCCTGCTTTCTCCCTTATTTCATAAAGAACTGATGACTAATGAGGAATTATTAGTAATATGGTAATATGAATAATTCTGTAATACAAATAAATTATAGGCTTTAAAAATTACTTTAAAAACTTCAATGTTGTACAAATCATGACACTAACAAACTTCTGTTAAGCATTATAAACTTGATAAACTCACTGACATACAGTGATGTCTTAAAAACGTGGTAGAAGTAATGAAAGACAGTTGTGCTGTTTCTGATTGATATATTAATATATGATTACAAATATTCCCCCCAGTTCTCATTTGGATTGGATAATGAGCATTGTGGTAGACAGCAAAAATCTTTAGTTAACTAAATTAAACAGTGTTGAGAACAATTGACTGTCTTGAACTTAGTGGCTAACACAGTCAGAGCCGTACTACTACAAAGTCAGTATTGCATGGAAGAGTAAATTATTATATACATATATATAAAATAGCAGCTAAAGGGTCAATTTAAGCTTAAGTTTGGACTAAAACTCATTATTTGGGCAATAATACTGATCTGAATTGGAAGTTTTCACAAGTAATTTGTTTACTGTTAATGTAAATAGGTCAACTCCAGTTTTATCTCCAGGATCAAACACGTTAAAAGGTAATGTGAACAATCTCATATCCAGTCTTGTTTATGGCAACTACATATTTGACAAATGTAAAAATACAAAAAGAGATAATTATTTAGGTCACAAGGAGATGTGGCTAAAGCTAATTTATTGCACAAATTATTAATTACTAATTAAGGAATACTTACAGGAAGAATATGGGAACATGAGTGTTGCTACTCTGTCTGGTGTCTCAAGGCATCAATAATTTTACCTATTTACAGAGATCAGCATGTTTTTTCCTATTTGTAACTTCTAGCAAAGTTCTTTAAAAACAAAATTAAAGTTCTTTAAAAACATTCTTAAATCAAATCTTACAGTGCTCCTTTGGTCTCCTGACCTACAAAAAATGTTTTAGAATTTAGAATTTCTGTAATCTCCTAATGTATCTCACCATTTTCAGGAAAAGACAAGCAAAATGTTTGCTGCTTTGGATACAGGGCTGTTTCAACTGTGTATTTCCTCCTCATAGGGTTTCTAAAAGTTAGAATTAAGATTTTGGTTTCAACTTTAAAACATTACAGCTTCCAAAAGAAAGGGATGATGGCTAGCAACTGGCTTTAATGCAGCTTAAGCATGTTCCAAAGGCTTTATTGAGTAAGCTCAGGGACCTGACTTCTTGCTACTTGAAAGATCCACAGGGCTTAATTCTTCTAGCCTTTCATTGTCACCTTATTTCTGTTATAAATCCCAGCGCTCCTCTGTAATTAATTGTGCAAATGAATAATATCAGTGCAGAGATAGTGGTCTTGGGCCAAAAGCAACTGCTGTATTTCATGCACTCCTCAGAAGTGGCTATCCACCACCACAGGAACAAAGAAAACGAGGTCAATGAAAATCCCTCATTTCCACTTCAAATGAGAGCTTGCTATAAAGAACAACTTTAGCCCACAGTCTCATTTCTACTTTTAAAATTTATCAAAGAGAGTTCTGTTAAAATACTGTGCAATGATATTAGCAGTATTAATAGGAAATAATTATGAAGAGGAGTAATACCTTTTCTTGAACAGGTCCTGATATGAAGTACCAGTGCTGCTAATGTAAAAGCTTAGCCTTCTTGGTATTCAGTGCTTTATTAAAAGAATTTTTATTAGCTAATTCAAGAAAGAAATATGACGAATGTCTCCTTCCCAGTTCCATCCCTATCTTTCATTACAGTAGTATCTGGTAATAGAAAGTGCTTCTGGCAATATGTATCTGCATGTAATGCATACAATTTTCAAGATATAAAAAGGTATGTATGGAGAATGGCTACTTGATACACACCACAAATATCATAACATTTTCTGCCTCAATTTAAAACTAAACCTAATAGTTCTTCTAGTTATTTTGCTCTTATAATCATGATCTTGTATGGGACAAGTTCTCAGCAGAGCAAACTGTCATAGCTCCATCAATGACAATTTATAACTCATCTGCCAATCTGACCCTGTACTTTAATCCATCATTACGGTCTCAGACATTTGCCTCTGAGAGTTCTTTTTATCACCTTTGTCTTCTACTGAAAATTAAATGTGAAAATAAAGAATTTCATGTAGTTGACATCATTTATGTAACCAAGACCTGCAAACCTGTCTAGCTCCTGGGTACTCTTATGACTCCTTGGTGACTGTGTTGTCAGCACACATGCCACGATAGCATGCTAGTAGTACCAAGGTCTGTTTTTCTATTACTCTTTACTTTTCAGTCTATAGGGTTTTATTTTCCCAACCCCAAACAGGAGCAAAGCTCTCACAGCCTAGGTAAAAGTCGAATTTAAAGTACATAGAGTTTAAGGAACGCAATGGGCAGGATATTACTCGTATGAATTACAAATAGCAGCATTATCCATCTGCATCCTGATGACAAGTAACTCCAGAAAACAAGTCTTGGCATAGCCTTACATTTCCTGTGTTAAATAGAAAATTTGGGAGCTAAACCAGGTTGAGGCAGCATCAAAGAACAGATGCTTTCTGATAGCTAGCTATGGCTTTGATTCAGGAGCATATTTAAACACAAATATGTTTAAAGGTTTTACTGCACAGGGCTAAAAGTAAATCTGTGCTTAGAGCTAAACCGTGTATCTATTAACAGGACCTCTCTGGAATCACATTTTGTAGGACTGCTGTAGGGACTAGTGCTGGGGTATCTTGTGTTTTGATTATCT